TCTTATTTCAGATATTATAAAGTGGCTCTGCCCAGACTAAGTGACCTTAAGACTTCCTTGGAGTTCAGGATGGAATCATGGAGAACAGTGCCAAATTCTGTACTCTGTAAGGTTTGATATCAACTGTAAAAATGAGCCAGTTTCAAGGTGAATTTATTTAGCACTTGGTCATTTGGATTCATAGCTCAGAGACAGTGACAGACATCCTGAGGCAGAAAGGATATATTCACCCATCTATTCATTAAATAAACATTTATGGAGTGACTCCCTTCCCAATACTGTGTTAAGTACTAGGAGATGGGCTATAAGGGACAGACATTCAGTTTCAGAAACTTAGAGAAAAGTGTATGTCAGGCAGAAATGCAGAGCAAGACCTGCACAGAAAGTTTCAGGTGTGTTTGTCTGATAACCAGCAAAAAAATAAATAAGTAAATATGTACATACATACATACATAAAAACATAAGTAAACTACAATATCTTAAATAGTTGTCCTGAAGCAGGATGTTATACAAAATTAAGGTGCTTTTAAAATTTTTTCATTAGCATACAAAAACTTGAAGAGGGAGATGGGCTCTTCAAGAAGACAATTATGATTCATTCTTACTCTCCCTATTGCAAATTGTTTCACTTACTGGCAATTACTGGCAATTAACTGTGTACTATCTGGTGAAATCTCATACTATTTTGCATTGTTTTTGACTCTTGATTTTTTAAAATAAATTTATGGGGCTTTTTTTCCCATTATGAAAGAGATATAAGGCTATATAATTTCTTCCAAATTAAAATGTGAGGAAAAAAGAAATCTAGCCTGTCTCATTGTCTCAAAGACAAGTATTTTTTACATTTAATGTATTTCCCCCTATCTTTTTTTGTGTCATTTTTTAAAATGTATTTGAAATCATGCTACTTATGCAATCTTCCCTTCCAACCCTCCCCACTGTGTGGCAGCTATGTGCTTTGAATGGGACTGACACTACCCCCAACTCCAAGGGTAGTCCCTGATTGGTATAATTCTTTTATTTAATGAAGTTAAATGTTTTATTATTAAGCTTTCTTATTTTTCTGCAAGGCTGTTGCTTCGCTGATAAAAATAGCACCAGCAAATGCAGTATGGTGCAGAATTAAGACAGTATTGTTTGTCATTTGACATTATAACTAACGAAAACTTTTCTCCACTGCTAGTTATTTCCAGTGGAGAGATCATTAAGTATGTCGACCCAAATCAAGAGATGAATGTAAGCAAGTTACAACATTATATAATGCTTAAAGTAATACTATACTCGAATTACATAATTTTTATAGATTTTATCACAAAACATCAGGAATTCTGAATATTATAACTGTCACCTAGCCTAAAAATCATAGGATGTTGTTTAAGAGGTACGTATTGTGTTTATCTGCAATCATGAAAAAGTTAAGGGATATTTTCTTCTAGTAGCATTGTTTTAGTTTATCCATCAGTATTACTAAAAGTTGCTGTTTTAAATCTTTTATCCACCACTAATTTAAGACAACTATGCTAGATTGAGTTGTTTCGTACTGTTTTATTTTGGGGTGAGGGGGTTCCATTTACACTCCTCAATAGATTTTACGTATTTCTTTCTCCCGTGCTTCTTCACTCATTAATTCATCTAGTTCTGAAGGGTTACTCGGTGTCATTTTGATGAGCCAGGTATCTTCATAACAAATTTGTTGACAAGTCCTGTCAACAAATTTGCAAGAGCTTTATTAATTTCAGTTACTTCTCCTGATACAGAAGAATATAGTACACTAGCAGCTTTCATATTTTCCGAAGCACCAAACTTATCTTTTTTGTTCAATTTTGTCCCAACTTCAGGCAAACTATAGTAAATAACATCTCCCAAAGCTTCCTGTGCAAACTTGCTGATTCCCACTAATCCAATACCATTTTCTGTAGTTATGCATTCATGTTTCTCTGTGAATTTATGCACAGAGAGCAGATTGGGGCCAGAGCGCAGCATGCAGAATGTGGTGGGTGCAGAGATGGGGGCAGGCTGCAGGCAGCTTGCAGCTCCGTGTTCATAGGAGTGCAGGGGATCGCAGTCCCTTATTAGTATAATTTAATAACAGTATTCCAGCCTCCCTATGACACTAATTAGTTCAGAAGCAGCAGAAGACCCCAAATAGTCCAGCTGGTCCAATAGTTGTGGAAAGAGATATCTTCTTCCTTCCTGGTTGTGAATGAGAAAGTATATACTCCATAGTAACGAACCTCCATGATAACGAATTTGCCACCTTGAAGGAAGCCAGTTTGAAAATAAAACCAATCAAAGAGGGCAGAGCTGAGAAAATTAAGGAAAAATGGACCTGATCCAGATTGAGCCAAGTATGGATCTTGTCCTCTTTCTATAATTTTCAATTTTATGAGTCACTGTATTCCCTTTATTGTTTAAATCTGTTAAAGTTGGATTATAAACTATTTCCAGCCAAGCATTTTAAACAGATACACCATCTATATGGGATATTTAAATGAAAAGATTTTAGCACTAGGCTCTTAAAAAGTAAATGAAGCCCACTTTGGGGGGTATGGAATACAAAGAATAAAGTTGTGGGTATTCTCATTCTTTCTGAACTCCTATTCTTGGACCCAAAGCAGAAAACTCTCAATATCTGGGTGTTTTCCTAAGAGTTGGAATGTCATTAGTTATGGATAAGATTCTGGGGACTTTTCTTGAACTATGGCTTAACTGCTACCGGATCTCTCTTTTCAGATACTTATTCAAAAGAGATAAGTCAAGGAATCAAGTTGGGTTCCAATACTTCATCCAAAAGTACGAAGTATGAATTTGGGGGCATATTTAGGTATGAATGAAATAACATTTATTTTTTCATAATCAAATCCAAATCTGAGAACTCATATTGCTACACTGGCAGAAAATGTAATGTTATTATTGGCATTCCCAAGAAGAATGACACCAGAAGTATATATAGGTCCCAGGGTTGGTCTTACCCACCACCACTGTGTCATGGAGGCTCTGTAGCTATTGGCTCAATTGTCCAGACTGGTTATCAGAGATGGCCATTGCCCAGTCTGCATGTTTTCATCAGGATCTTGAGGCATGAACATCTTCAGCAATGATATAAGTCCTTATGCTCAGTTTCCAGCCCTCTTCTCACAGTGCTGTCAAAGAACATGTTGCAGCTCCCCTCAAATCACACAACTATAGACAGACCTTCACCTTTTTTCCCAGCCTTCTGAAATCGTTTTTTCCTCAGTCTTCTCTAAGGCACATCCCTGTCTCCTCAAACAACACACACACACACACACACACACACTCCCTCCTTGGGTACTTTCATAATTTTTTCAATAGATTGAATTTTTACAGAACATATGAGTAGGTCTTGATTTCCAAGATTTTGACTCTACCAAAATTCCTGAGACTAGGATGCAAGGCAGGAAAAGTACATAGCAAACAATACAAATATCTCCAAACTAGATAACTATCCCATAAGTGAGCAGTTTGCACACCCAATGGAAGTCTTCACCTGGGACCAGGATTCAGTCATTTTTATAGTGCTTTTTTCCTCATTCCTGTTATTGGAACCTCTGCTCCAGTTCTCCTCAAGTTGTTACACAAAAGCTAGGGCTTATCTCTCATTGACATTTTTTACTTGTCAGAGCCACTCATTTATTAGAAGCAGGCACCTACACATCTCATAGGCTCAACTGCTTTATCTTGCTTAGTGAAACAAACTTTATTAACCTAGAAAATAAAACATATTTGTTGTGAGGAATTGCTCATGAGTACATTTATTAGACAGGACATTTGGCTGCAAATGACCGAAAACCAAACCAAAGCAGGTTAAGTACTTGAAAATCTACTGGCTCACATAATTTGAAAGTTAAAGAGTTGGACATCACAAATGGCTGGATTAGGGAAGGGAGGTGTCAAATTGTCATTATATAACCTAGACTGGAATCTGAGTATTCCATCTCCCAAGTATTGTGATTAGGTCAGTAATGGTCACTTAACAGAGTCAGCACCTTGCTGGGATTTTTTCCCCTCTTAAACCATCAGGAAATACACTTCTGTATCCAGTAAAAAGCATCCTTCAGGAATGGAGGTAAAATACACATTGTTACAAGTCTAGTTCAGAAGGCCCTCAAAGTTTCAAAATTGTTCATGCCCTAGGAACTTAACTCTTTTTTATATCAATTAGCCTACAGCAAAATTGTTTTGTTACACTTTGTTTCAGTTAAAGTCACAGAACCTATTCATGTTAAGTGAGGACTTATTATATTCGACATCACCAAAGGGTCTGAATTTCAGGATAACTGCAGAGGATATTTAAGGAACATAGCGGCAGGGGTTAGGAGACCCTTTTGGCCTGGACATCACATTCACAAGGGGCTTCATATCTAGGCTTTTCATATCTCAAGGACTATAGTCAAAGTCAGGGCTGCAATAAATTCATTCAACTTTACATATATTTTATAACCATATTATGACTTTAGGACTGGCACATTTATTTGATCCTATATTTTTTTAGGTGTTGAAAGTGTTAACTTGTTAAATAGCATTTGAAATCTACCATGAGTTTTACCACTCTATTTTGGGATTATTTTAATTTTAATATACTAAGAGCTCCTTAAAATGGAAGAAACCTGAACCCTCTCTATCACTGCGAATAATTTATTTTACTGAGAACTTACTCTGCACCTTTACTTAACATCGCTTTTCTAATCTCACACCCAATTTCTTCCCCTTTTCAAGGATGAAGAAATTGGGTTTTACAGAAGTTGCCAAGAGACATCTCTAGAATCCAGGAAATCTAATTGCCCCACCTGAGCTCTGAGTCAGTCGCCGCTACCTTGGCCTTTAAGGGTCCAAATTTGTCTACCATCTAGATACGGTCAAAGGTAAGGGCTTCCCCCCAGCCCCCTCACCCACCTCCTTTCCTATCCCAAGGTCGCTCTTTCCAAGGAGAAAAAGGAAACAACGGGGCGCCTGCGCTGCGCATGCTCCGCCGCAGAGCACTGCGGGAAGGGGCTGGCCCCGCGCAACCTTTCGCGTCGGAGGTCGTGTGAGCAGCCTCGCGTGGCGGGCGTCTCTGAGAGAAATTAGTAAGCCTCCTTGAGCAGCTCTGGTGTCGGTTTTTGCTCCCGAGCCTTACGGAAGGGCGGGGAGTCTCGCTTGTGGGAGGGAGGATGAAGCGTCGCGTTGGGCAGGGTTTCTAGAGACGGGGCCCTGCGTGCGGATTCCGCCGTATGGGGTTCAGGAATTCGGGGTCAGGCTCCTGGATTGTGCCTGTCGCCTCCTTTAACCTTGT